TGTTGTATATCAGCAGAACGTCTGAGCTGTCACACAGGACAAGTAAGATCAAATACATCAGAAGCTGTGCAGTAACACTCACTGGACAGCTATACAAAAATCCCCATTTATCTTATATAAAAAGTCCATTCCTTAGTTCCAAGCCTAAAGGTGCCAACCAACACTCAGCAGCTGACGTACGTACCCATTGCAGAGTTTTAAGTCACAGCACCCCCTGGGAATCCCTTCCCATGGAGCCATAAATAATCATGTAAATTATAAATTAAATCAAGAGGAACTGATGCCTTTGTGGAGATAACCTAAAGGCTCTTATCCTATAAAAGGATCGGCATGGGCAACCCCCAGCAGCCTTCTTCCCCTGCCTTTAGCCGAGAAAGGGTCAACAGTGGCAAACTCACTACCAGTTGTTGCAACAGGGAACACCCAATTTCTTCACAGGGAAGTGAACAGGAACACCCCTTCATGTCTGAAGGAAAAGCATTCAGGGCAAGGACATTCCCAGCAGCATAAGGCCAGTGGATCGAATGCAGAGCTGCTCCAGTTCAGCAGCATGACTTAATGCTTCCATTCCCTTAAAGAAATTGGTAACAAACGTAAACACTGGACAACAGCAGATAAAGTATCATTAAAAAAAGCCAAACATGCCAATCTGGTTTATTCCATTTTACAGAAGTAATATTTGTGCAACTATTTAGACAGCCAATAGGACAATGAAGATTTAATCAGCAGGATTTACAGAGATTTACACATGTATTTGTTAAGAATTTGAAGACTTGCAATTTAACCTAAGTTACCAGATGCCTCCCAGGCACCCCTGGATTCCAGCAGTATGGGCAATCCAAACATGTCTGTGAATGTCTATACTCTTACTTTGCTCGGTTTTTACATTTCCCTCTCCTCTTGTTTGAGACCCAGCATTGAAGAGGCAGCAGAGAGCTGGTGGCCCCTCAGCTGACAGAGGGGAATCTAGGGAAATGGCTCAGGCTGCAGCTCAGAGGAGCAGTGCTTTTGCATTTCAAGAAGATTTACAGAAATACAGAGAGCAAAAAACATAATGAGGGAAATGTGATCATTACCTAAAGCAGAAGTTACAGAGAAAAAAAAACAGCACAATTTTAACTGGTTTTCCTGGATTCTTCTTCAGGGCTCAATGCCCTTCTAACATACCTGTCACAGGGGACTAGAAGAGCACATTCCTGCAGAACCTGCAAAACACTGACAGCTCCAATGCTCCAATCCTTGGGACACCTGGGAGAAACAAGTCTTGGCACACTGAGCAGGAAGCTGACAGAGACACCACGTAATTGTGATGGGTGATAGAATTAAACACTTGTGTGTGGAAAATCTACCCAAGTGGCTTCAATTTTCCCTTATAAAGGGAAAACCCTTGAAAAATACCACTTCGGCCTTACTCAGCTCAGAAGCCCCATTTGTCCCCCACACAGGACAGATGAGGGTGTCAGGAGCAGATACCAAAGTACATCTGTGGCAAGGGTACACGAGGTAAACACAGGTAAGGTAAGCCTACTCCAAAACATGAGAAGCAACAACTGACCTGTTGAGAAAAGAGTAATTAAAGAAGTACTCTTCTTCAATGTCAATTCACCACTTCTCAACTCCTGGGTTTCCTTCCAGCTGTGAAACTTCTGAAGAAGTTCCTGAAGATGTGAAATCACATTGTATTGGAAAAGACACGCTCTGGGCAAAAAGGTAGCACAAAATATTTTAGGTAGTTTTCAGGTCATTGATCTGACATTTTAACTGGCAAAAATGGACTCCTTACACATAACTTAGCTCAGGATGTGTTCCTCTTTTCTATCATATGTAAATCATGGGAAAAAATTGCAGATTACTCTGTGACTGTGGTCACTTGGAGCAGCCACTGAGGTCCTTCAGTCGGGTATTGGAACACAAAGAAATTTGGAATTATCTTCCTTGACCCCAGCTGACATAAAGAAAATTCTTTTTTTTTCTCCTTTTCCCATCTGTTTTCATCTTCATTCATAGTTGCCTCTAATCCTCTGCTTGTTTTGTGACAGTTAAAGTAAGTTTCCTCCCCTTTCCCTCTTCCTTCCATCTGCTGAAGTCACCCATGTCTAACCCTTCTAAAAATTTTAGAGCTAAGAAATAAGTACTTGCAGCTCTAGCCCTCACCAATTGTGTACTATACATCTTTCCATTCAGCATGAATCAGCCTTGTCTATTGAGCCAGTCCAATCCTCACACTCTTCTACTCTCTACTTACACATTCTCAATAAACCCTTAAGTACGACAGTAATTATACTACTACCACAGTTACCATACCATTACCTTTCATTTCAGCTCTCCAGTCATCCAGATGAACCTGATGCTGTAGGGCAAGATGACCACTCAAATATTGGTGAGAGATCAGGTTTTAAAAATATAATTAGAAACACAAAACATACTGAGTTAAAACACTTTAACATCAGGACTAAAAAAATCTAATTTGAAGGGTTTTGTTTTGTAACTTGGGGGGGAGGGGAGGAGGAGCTGGGGGGAAGGCAGTTTCCACAATTTTACCCAAACGACTTAATACTTTGACAGGTCCGGGTCTTTACAGCTCTTCTTAGCCCAAAGTTTCACAATGTATCTGCTATTATTATCCAGACAAACACTGCAAATACTTCATTTTTTTTCTCTTTTACTGAAAAACATGCATCAGAAAATGCATCTCCATGAAATCTGGGACATGTCCTAGAACCTCATCTTCTTTAAAAATCTGCTATTAACCATTGCTGGCCAATACTGGATTAGTGTCAAAATTCATGTTACGTAGTTTCTGTTTTCCCTCATACTAGCTTTTTGGCTGGGTGTGGACTACAGGCTTAAGAGAAAACAAACAGGGCCGGCTGTCTGTATTTTATATATCAAACCAGAAGAAAATTAAATAACAGTCTGAATTAGGTGCAGAAATCACTGCAATGAATAAGAGTATATTTATTTACAGGCTAATAAAAAATATATTATATTCAGCTCAACAAGATGTATACATTAGTTGCAAAATTTTCTATCTGCTACAGAAACGAGTAATCCGTGATGCAATAATGTTTGGACAGATACAATAAATACCTCAATTTTGTTTGATACATTGCAGATTAATATATACTGAGACAGATACAAACCATCTTCTCCTCCAAGAATACAATTCTACAAAGAAAATACTACATACAGCCTTTGATCAGAGTTAAATTTATTGCCATAAAGCACTTTCCTTAACTTACATGCTTTTAATTAACATTGGTCCTAGATGCCAACAAACACTGTCCACCTTTAGCTTAGAACACAACTGTCTCACTGAAGATTTTTATAATAGTCAAGAAATTATCTACTAAAAAAAAAAAACCCTGCAAAATTCTCCTCAGAATATTAAGAAAAAAATATATATACACACAAGTAAACCATGTTACACTTTAAAAAATAAAAATGAAGTCCGAGTATCGACTTTCCTCAGAAATTTTTCCAACTCCATTCAACCCCTGGGAATCAGCAGAACTGAGTCTCCCAGTTACTGACAAAGGGGAAAATACTAATTTGTCTATTGAATCTGTAAATTCCAATTTGCAAGACTTTTTTTCAGTTTAAATATTAATCTCTAAGTATCTCGGTATGTCTACAACAAACCAGCATGTTAAATCAGCTAGTAGGAGACAGACTGTAGTGTCTGAGCAAAATCCTTCCATTAAGGGCTTTCTGAACAAAGATTATAAAAACTGCAAGGAAGGAGATCTGGTGATAATTTACTGCTACCTGATTAATCTACTCATAGTCATTCTCTTCAGCAACTGTTCCTTCTGTTGATCTCATATAAAGGTTAAACACAGGCAGGATAAGAGCAGAGAAAGGGTCCAGCAACTTTTGTAAGATGAAGAAAAGAGCACAGCATGATGAGAAACTGGTGGACAAGGAATGTTAGGAAAATAACTCCAGAAACACTCTCCCATTTCAGCCTAAAACTGATCAAAAGTATTAAGTGGAAAATAAGGTGTGCCAAAGAAGAAAGGAAGAACAAATAAATTAAAATTTTCACCTTTCCCTCAAACAAAGGGAAACTGTACAGGCAAATTTAGCGCCAGACTAATTGGACAAGACTCATTCGTTACAACTGCAGGAAGATTTCATACAGCGGTGATTTTCAAAGACAAGACTACTTGGCTTTGAACAATCCTTTCCGACAGAGAGGACATTGGGTGTTCCAGGCCACAGACAGTTTCAGAGTGCACTCTGCTTGGACAGCTGTGGGAAAAACACAAACCTGGATGCAGAGCTGTGGCAGTAGATTCAACTGCTAACACACAGCAATGTGTCCTCAAGTTTCTGAAGCTTCAGAAAAAGAAACATGCCTGAGGACTTGTTTCTTCTTCACACAGCTTTATTTTTAAATACTAGTTTCTGTTTGGTGAAAACTGTACAGCTTTGACTATTTTAAAAACCTTCAACAGGATGCTGTATGACACAGACTATTATACAAAATGAACCAAATAATGTTATTCCACTGAGTAAGTGGAACTCATGCGCACGCACACACACAAAATGATCATGTAAATAGCAAAGTTAAGGGATTTATAAATAGCAAAATCTTTGAATAAAGTATATACATTTTTTCAGCTTTTTCTATAAACATATATATAGTGCTCCTAGGAGAGACAAGTAACCATGTTCTACATCACAACTTAGAACATAAGATTAGTTGATGTTATCTAAAGGCCTCTGAGGTTTTTTCTTATGTATGTACATCCTACACAGTAACACTTACAAAGATGTCTTTTCACATTAGTTCCTCTCTCAATGTACAAAATCTTATCTTTTCACATTACAGTTCAACAGCCTGCAGAGCAGCGAACAGGAAAGCTGGCATTGCATGCTGAAATAATAAATGTGATTACAACGTAGAGCTTGCACATGGAGAGTGCTGCACTTTCCCAAAAGATCTACAAATGGAGTATGTGAAACTGGCCAAGAAAACCATCCTCAACATTCCCATTTGCAGCCATGCTGAGGGCCTTTAGATGTACACCAATTAAAAACTATTTTAAGATACACTGCTCTTACAAAAGAAGTAACGCTTTGTTTCAACAGTAAGACAGTTATAGGTTAATATGACTGCTGTAACATAACACAGATAGGGCCAGACACCGACTGATTCTGAGCACCTCCTGTAAAGTACTGTGTACTCAACTTTCAGTTCTTTAAAGATTATTTTAATGTGAAATGAGTATGTTCAGTACCCATCAAAAGCACTCAGCATTTCATAAGGTCAGGCTAATGATGACCAACTCAAACCACTCTGCATTAGCAGTAACCATACAATGGTATGCTAATGAATGCTAAATTGATGATGCTCGGGAAAAGAAAAAAATACCAAAAGGGCCCACATAATTGTGAACATTTCAAAACTAATTTTGCTTTTAAAATCCCACAATACTCTCTTTAAAGACTTCCAGAGCATGTTTCAAATGGAACAATTGGCAGTGAATTCATTAAAACAACAATGCCAAAAATCTCACATATAAAATGATCATGGGCTGAAGGATGACGATTAGCAAGTACTCCACTGTCCCATTTGGGTTTTGATGGTCTTTGCTCAAGTAAAAGCTCTGGTTTTTACTGTTCTGAGAAATTTAAAAAAAAAAACAACTTATTTTTAAAAGTTACAGTTCAAAAATCCTAAGTACAGTATTCATAGACGCAATGGTACACTTCCCCCTCCATCCTTCTAGAGTTAAAGCTTGTTTCACACCAAACTGAACATCATCTGTCCCTTTAAAGGATGAAAGGGTCAAAATGAAGCTGTCCACATCTCATTCTGCTTCCTTGGGGACATTAATGAGATCAAAAGTTGAATGTACTCAAGTTACCCTTTTTAGAAATCCCATGCTTTGGTGCTTATTATTAAAAGAAAATTCATTTCACATGCCATGTGTTAGATAACTACTGTGTGTCACGCAAAAGACAGTTTTCCACATTTAGAATTGCTCACAATGAAGCCCTGAGGTAACCGCCTTTTTTCCAGGCAACAGTAATACAGTTCCTTTTGACATTTAATCATCCTTTTACAACCTACACTAGTATATGCATCTTGGAGCAGTCAATACTGATTATCAATTGTTCGCAAAGACGGGATCTGTCCAGTTGTTTTTTTTGTCTGTTTGTTTTTAGGATAAAGACTCAGCAGAACAGGGCAACTTGGGTGCAGTGTCTTCTAACGGAGCTTCAACTGAATTCCCCAGGTCTCCATTTTCATGTCCATCAATACTTGGCTTCTTATCAAAGACTGCAATTTAAAAAGAAATTTTATTTCAGGAAGAGAAGCAATTTTGGGAGTGACGTATCAGTGAGCCTTACTTCAGAAACAGGAAAGTGAAAATGACCACTAAACACTAATGAAATGACCACTAAAATAAGAACTAATAGGTGTTTAGCAGAACATAGTATGACAGGAAAACAGGAACTGTTTCTATACTTCCCTGATCTAAAACATGTATTTGAAGAAGCCAACAGCAGAAAATGTCAGGGAATTAACTATTCCTAGACAAGAGTCAGGAAAAGGTAAGAACAGATCTGAATTGTAACCTTTGGGAAAAGCTGATCAGGAAAAAAACCCACACAAATCAATTAAGTTAGTTAGTTATGTCTAAGTAACCCAGGCCAATAAATGAGGGACCATCTAAAAGAGCTGACACCCTATGAGTAGGTTAACAGTAGATTAATTTTACAATGAATATTGACACTTCAGAATTAAACTGCATGTAACGGATTTTAGAATGTTTACCTTGTGAGGGTTTGACATCCACATTTGCATCTTTCCTATTAGAACTTGAATGTGCACCTTCTTCCAATTCATCAAGATACAAACGATAACGGTGTCCACTCTCATCTTCATATTCTACATTTTCATCATCTGAATCAACTTCTGGAGCAACATACACTACTTCAAATTCAATCTCACCTCTCTAAAATAAAACAAAAGTTACAGATTTACTTACTACTTCACAGCTATACAGTAGCATTACTGAGATGAGCTAGGTTACTAAAACAAATACATTTCACTGTTGTAAAGACATTTACAGTTGTGTTGAATATTCTGGATATGTGTCTGAATTAAGTTTTTACTGACTAAAGAAGAACAGCTCTATAGCTAAGATTTACCAAAATTACCTGAATCTCCCAGTTATGTGCCAATACATTACAAACAGTGACTTCAGCATTTTTCGCCTTAAATTGCAAGACATAACAGGGTTAAGTATTAGGTGATACAGCTTCAGGAATTGCTGCAGCTTAGCATAACACTGTGCTTATCAGAAAGCATTAAAGTTCAAAGTAATTCAATAGAACACAGGAAGCACCGAAATGCGTCTATGGATAACAGGTCTCAACTGACCTGTTGGGAAAGAATAGTTACAGCTTCTTTATGTTTGGCATCTCTTAGATTAACTCCATTTACTGCCAGAATAGCATCACCAACATGCAGCCCTCCACATCGATCAGCAGGTTGTCCAGGATGGATTTCAGAGATCAGTATTGGAACACCATGCTCCTTCCCACCCTATTGGGGAAAAAAAAAAAAAAAAGTAGATTTTAATTAACTGAGACATCCATTAGCGTAAAATCATCATTCTGGTAGTTGCTCTTAAAGTACTTATTTCAACTTTTATTATAGAAAATTAGAAAGCATACATCAGAGAAAGAGAATGCTTCCCTGAATTCTTTTCCCCACAAAACAATGGACAAATTTCAAATTCAGAGTCAAAGGAGACAATTGAGAAAAATAATAAATGTATCAAGTCATATACAAGCTGATGAGACAACATCAAAACCTCATTTTAAAAGCGTATCAGGCACCATATTTACTTGCAAGAAACAATATTCATATTTAGAATAACAGCATAACAGAATTTTCAAAATTTGGAATTTAGTTCTCAAGATTGTTTCTGTTCTTCTATTGACTTACCACACCTGAAATTCACCACTGGCTAATTTGCTGGTCTATATCCTAAACATAAGTTGAAATCTTAAGTTTTACATAAAATAGCAGTTACCTATTTCCTGATCTACCAAAATGAGTCTGCAAGTTCTATGACCATAGCTATGGATTTGCATATGTTCTTTTTCATACATTCTAACAATACATTCACTGATCCAATATGTTACAGCAGTATAAATACAATTTCAAATTGCTTATGTGTCACGGAAAATAAATGCAAGTATTTACCGTGATAGAAATTCCTAGTCCTTCATGGTCTTCTTTAACTAGCAAAACTTTTCTGATTGGACCAACACCTTGACTCTTCTTTAAGGCATCAGGATCCTAGTTCAATAAAAAATAAGCATAGCAGAAATATAAACATGTGAACCAAAAGTTCATTTCTGCATTTTTATTTCTTGAATTATATACAGACAGTGTACAGGCAATAGAGTTTTAGACTAGCTCCAGGCAGGACAAACTTACAGTGCCCCTTTACAAACAGGACATGAAATCAGAAAAACATTCCTCCCTATGAACTCCTGATGAGAAAAATTATTTCAACTATTTCAGTGTTGAGTGATGCACAACACAGAACTTAACTTCAAAAGAAAGAAAACAGCCATATATTAGAAGTATAAAGGGACTACATGAAGGAATGCTGATCACTGCTGAAAAGTTGTGATGTAAACTGCCATTTAAAACTGATCAAATTATAGAAGATGATGGAATACACCCCAAAGAAGAGGCTGCTTGCTCAAGTTTATTTTTATTATTATGAACCATACAAAAACCCATTCAACTCAAAACAAAAAGAGAGACTAAATAAATTAAGGTATTCATTTTGTTAAGCCACTACACCATTATGCATACCCTTCAAACCACACATACACATTTGTCCACCAATATTTTATATGCAATCAACAACATAAGCAATGAGATCCATCTGACTAAAGTATTTAGAATAGCTCACAGTAAAGCACTTCTCTGAAAATGTCTGGTTTTATGAACTTAACACTGGGGTGACTAACAGGTCATGTGCCAAACTGGGCAAGTTCTAGCAAGGCTACCCACAATGAATGCCTTTTAAAGGTTTTATTTATAAAGTAACTTTTGGAGGGGGGAGAAAGAAAACTCAATTCTTTTACAGAATGTCATTTATATGGCCTGTAAAGACATTTTTAAAAATTACCTTCAGTTCAATCTAATCCTAAAGTTGTTGTTATTCTTAGTTTTTGTAAATAAGTTAGCTCTACATTTTGAAACTGAGGTTAACAAAATTATGCTGTTAAATTCGCATTTAAACACACACATAGCAGAGGCTCAGTTTTCAAAAGGACTGAGTGTTCCTAGGCAAGTCAAAAGAACTGTATCATCTTTCATGGTGACGTGTTATTTAGCATGTCATCATAATACTTTTTGTATCCTTCAGCATACAGAAGAACTATATATTCAGAATTGACATTTGAAAGAACACAATATTGAAGTAAGAATAATCACAAAAATTAAAAAGTAACTCTCATTCATTTTCCACAGATGCTGGAAATTATGAAGGAATGGCTTATCATTTCAACTTACATGTCCTGGTGGTGCTTGCATTGGTCGTTTTAGATCATTCCGACCTCTACAAGCTCTAATAACAGTTTTGTGCCGGTGAAGGTGTATTTCTGCTTCAAGCTGATTCCAGAGCTTGTCATGAGCAGGTCCTTTCATATCTCGGCCCAGTAACTGAATCTGCTGGACCCTACATAATGAAAAGGAGAGTAAAACAACATGCTGTATTACAACTGAAAAAGCAATTCATTGTACAACTCATACACTTCATCTGGCTAGCACACAGTCACGCAGCAACTAGCGCAAGAGCTTGTTCAGTTAACTGCAAACGTGAGACTTTTCTTACCTGGTCTTAACACTGGACATGCCAAGGAAGAAAACAACAACAAGAAAAATCTCATGCTAAGGCACATGGATTGACTTCATTCACATACCTTCCAGCTAGTTCCTTATCTAAATACTTGGCTGCCAATCTTGCTCCATAAACCTCAGCCTGAAGCACAGCTATGTGTCTACGAAGTGCTTCATTTTCCTTTCTCAGTAACTTCACCTCAGCTTCTAGCTGAGCTTCTTTTACTTTTTCTTTCTTGTTGGCTTCAAGTTCTCTCTCCTTTACCAAAAAAAAAAAAAAGAAGGCAAAAGAAAAAACATGTCAAAAAGCTTTCATTGAAGCTAATAAAGGAACACTCACTGTTTCTGAACACACATTCTCCCGCATTCAAGACATGCGTGCAGGAAAAAAAAATGCAAGCAGCAACCCTGGCACTGCAGCTAGTGGTTTGCATTCAACTTGCACTGAAAGGTGAGAAAATTTAAGTAGCCTGAACATCATCCTTACTTTCTCCTGTGTTCAAATGGCAGATTCATACAAAAAAAAAAAAAGATTATTTTTACCATTAAAATGTAACTACAAAAACACTGAATATTTCAATTTGACAATATTCTTTAACTATTTTAATAAGATTTTACTACAATATGAAGGAAACGTTCTGTAAGTCCATGTGTTTTTAAAATTACAATTATTTTCATGAAAAAAAACAAGATGTGCCCAGCCAGGGACATTTCCAAATTAGCCTGAATACCACAAAAAGAAAGCCAGAGATTCTACACATGGAGATTCCCACCCTAACAAATGTAATTAAATGATGAATCAGTGCAAAATTACTGTTTGAAAACAAACAAAAACCAAAACATATAACATCTTAAAAAAATCCAACAATATAAAATCCCAACACTAAAACCACACTTCAAGCAAGCTGAAATTTCCCACTGATTTTCTCTGAATTCGGTTTGTAATTTAAGTTTTATTTAAACCAAAAGTCAAATGTCATATTTCTAAGATTCATTTTTAGTTATGTATCTTAAATGTTGTACCTAAAATATGAGGAACAACATAACACCATATAACTGTTTTCTTCCTATTTTCTCAATTACTGACTCTTGTTCTGCGACTGAGGTGGAAAATTACACCCAGAAGCCATTCTTCTCTAGCCTGTCTCCAATTGATCACCACATGGATTAAAAAAAATCAAGAGGTCTGCAATACAGAATCTCTGAAGATGTACTGAAAGAACTCATCTTGAACAATGATCATGAGATGTGCCAAAAGTCTCAAAAATGTTTAAAAACTTGAGGAAGCTACAGAACAGTTTTATGCTTTCTAGTGTTCATAGAATTGCATAGGTTCTGCAAAATAGAAATATATTTTCCATTGGTAATATTAAAAAAAAAAAACAACCAACCTCCAACCACTAAACCAAAAATGCAACTGCAGTGCTGAAATTCAAAGCTTACAGTTACCAGCTATCCCATGGCTTTTCAATGAGCTAATACTGACCGATGATAATGAAGTATATAACATAATAAAAATGGAAAAGCTGTTTGAAAAAGTTGCAAGTCTATCGCTATGAAAGACTGAAAGATAAAAGTTAACATTACTTCACTTTTTCTTCTTATCTCTATAGTACTGTGTTTATATGCTTTGGGCTATTACACAAGCCAGTAAATCATTTTAATCATGCCCGTTAGAAGAACTGAGAAAAGGGAAAACAAAGAAAGGCTGACAGGAAGTTTTTTAAAATACAACACATAGAATACTCCGTGTTACATTGATAAATGTGTACAGTGCTTATGCTTTAGAAATTGTATAACACCTTAACATTTTTGAGACACTGCCAGAACAGTCTTTCAGAATGAGAAGTTGCAGATACCACCCCAAATTAGCTGTTACAATAATAAATAAAACACATACAGACTTAGGAAGGAGAGCACCAAAACTAGAAAAGAAAAACTAAAAATGCAAAGAAAAATCACTACATGGCATCTTGCTAACTCACAGGAAGAAGCAACAAGTTGAATCTGTTTTGTGAGTTTCTAGGCCAACACATACATATAAAAAGTTGCTGCACAAAAGGACTGCTTAAAACATAAAAAGAAAGGGCAGTTAGAATACTTACCATTTCATCCACAGAAAGGACAGACTTAAGACAGAAGAAAAGAGTTCCATAATTAGAGAAACAGGCAACAGGAACTTCAAGCAAATGAAACGTAAGTTACTTTCTCCAAAAGAAATTTACCTGCAGATTTTTTATTTTATTAGAAGCCATAAAGAACAAGCACATTGTTATAACTGTACTTAGCAGAATTTTGGTATTTTGCAGTTAAAGTTACTAAAAATCTTAATAAATAATAAATCTTAATAAATATTTTAACCTTTATTGTAGTATTGAAAACAACATTTTCTCCTAAAATACCAAGACGTTTTATAAAGAATAGCACGTTAATGCAAAATGCATGAAAGCAGTTTTGACAGGATCACAGAAAATACATTCTTTAATATAACATCTGTTACGCAGATAATTGACTTTTCCCTTTCAGAAAGAATAACAAAATACATGTTACAAAAGGAACATAAAGGACGGAAAGAAGTAGCAAGAAAGACTAATCATCTACCAAATTCAAGAAAAAAATTTCAACTACGCAACTTCATACTCTAACAACGAAAGAGTTACTGTGATTGGACTTAACACTCCTAAAAGGGAATTTGGCCTCAACTATATGATGTTATCAATTGCTTAACAATCCAAAACATTTAAATGTGTCTTTGTTCACAACTAGGCACATTTTACAGTTTGTAGAGTACACATTTATGCTGGGAGCCTCCATACGCAAGAAGAGTGGTTGTCTTTAACAAAGAAAGCAAGAAGTTAACTAGTACAGAACTTTATTTCCCCACTGCATATTCTGTTGACACAGTTATTTGCCCTCAGAAGCTTTCTGACTGCCAGAAGGTCAGCATGACAGTTTTTATTTACCTAAACCTCAAACTTCCCATTTTATTGTCATTTAAGCAGCCTCAATTTTGCTTGCTCAAGCTTTCCAGACCTTTATGGTTTTCAGTATCTAGAGCAGTTTAAACTTGAGCTTTTCTCCACTAAACCCATGAAATCTCTGAAGGCAAAGTAAAGCAAATTCAAAAGATTAGTCCTGATGTTTATAAAAAAAGAAGGAATTAAATGGAATAAAGGAGAGAGTATCATTCTAGGCTGTCAATAAAATTCAACAGCAGCACAGAAAATCTAAAAAAAGTACAATGTATTTACAGACACCTGTGGGAAAAAGACTGCTGGCAAAAGCATGGAGATTTAATGTATCTTTAGAAATAGTTTATAACAAGGCAAAGAGAAGCAAAAAGGTTAAGAGTATTACTCTGTCATTTATAAATTAAGCCTCACTAACACAATTTAGGGACCAAAACCACTCAGAGTGATGTGTCAGCTTAAAAAACTTGCAACATATAAACCTGCAGCCTAAAACTTAGAAAATATTGGTGACCTTTAACTAAAGGTTATTTACAGAGCCATAAATATTAACAACCCTAAAGAAACTTCATCATGCTTAAACTATAATTCAATAGAGAATAAATTATGTGCAGAAAATGTTACTTTTATACTGAATAAGCAAGTATGTACACTGAGGAGCATAGCTTTTGGATCTGAAACAGGAAGAATTTGAGTTACTCCCGTTATTCAGTGAGTAGCCTAGACAGCCTTTAAGCATTATAGTCTATCACTATGTTTTATTATACATAAATCAACAACATAAAATAGCAGAGGAGATTAACATTCCACATATGTGGAGACTAGACATTTGCAAACAACCTGTGAAGCAATCCTAAAAACAGACAGAGAACTAGACTTTGATTTATGCCTACAGTTAGAAACCACAATTTATACATTACTTTACTTCTCTAATTTATAAAATCTTGGTAGTATTAAGAGGCTGAATCTGTGCTACCGATAGTAATGAGGCAGACTACACTCTGGTTATCAGTCATGACAGCTAACTGCACAGAATAATTATTGTTAGCTTTTGGTGGGCTTCGTGGAGGTTTAAGTTTCTAAAAACCATATTGTACAAAATTATCAGTGGTTTATTGAATTCTTTTATCACAGTGCTGCATGTAGCAATGGAAAGCACCGTAGATGCATCTGCAGCATTCTCAAAGAATGACAATAGAGAGGACTGTGATGCCATCTACCCTCTCTCTGTATGGCAAAACAATCCCATTCTTACTATTATCAAGAGTGTAACTACAAGAAAAACAAGCTTACCTCACTTCAAGATTTTTAAGATATGTGAATATTTGGTTGTATTTGTACATTGGAAGTTACTATCTTTTGCAGCTTCTGTCTCCAGAAAAGCTTTATAAACCACTAGAATATTTTCTTCTCCTAAAGAAACCACTAGAAAATAGTTTTTGAAAAAACAACTTCTTAAATTCTTATTTATTATTTTGCTGTTATGTTATTTTTAATGGTTGCTAACAACCAACCATAAAAGTTACATAAAACCAAAAAAGATAACTTTCTAACATTTTTAATGTGAAGATTTGTAACCTGCTTATTTGCACCTTCCAAGGAAGGATTTCAGCCAGGAGAGGGAAAAGTATAATATAATCCTCCATGCAAGCCACCATACTCACCAGTTTTGCCTTAATAGCCCCAGAATCAACATTCTGACCAGTTTTGGCATGCAGCTGAAGTTGAACAGCATGGAGTTGCAAAAGCTGATCATGCACTTCCTTTTCCAATACTGCTTTTTCTGCCTGTGTTTCTGTCAGTTCAGACTTCAGATCAACTAACTGTGCCTGTGAAGACATAATCCATCATAGGAATTAGAGCAATTATTAAATGGGGTCATCAAAACTGTAAATACATAGATACATCATTTGCGTACAGACAACAGTACATGCCATCACAAGTTTCTCTGCAGCCCAATTTAAGCACTGAATCACTTGCAGACTTTTCTCCCCAACTGCCACAAATTTCATTCATCCACAGACCCACCACCAATCACAGTGCAAATGTAACAAGAGCTGAGTTTTTCCTCACACAGACAACAGCATGTGATGCTGATGTCCATCTACTCCCAAAGAGGGCAATGTTATGAAACCTACATAGGATTTACAACCACAGAAATGTAAACACAATTTAGAATTTTAAAATTATTAAATCTTACTAAAAAATTATCAAAGTAAAAAGACCATTATTAATGCAAGGCTGAAATCAAATAACCCAATTTACAACTGGTCTGTTATCAGTGGCTTAACTGAAATAGTAAATGAGGTGGCAAATGAGAAGCCATGAATTAACACACCTCTAAAATGCATATCCAGAAAACCAAAAATGGTTAACAACTCTTTAATAAAGTGGTTTTGAAACATTTTAAATACAGTTTATATGTAGTGTTTATATCTGGAATAAAAGACCAAGCGCTAATATGTTTACCAAATTACTTGTTATCCTGAAAGTCTAACAGCATTTTATAAGATAAAACTATATTTATATAAGCTTTAGTCTACTATTTACCAAAAAAAAAAACCAACAAATCCACAGAAGATTACCTCAGGAAATGTTCTGGTAAATTCCCAGACTATATTTTTGCTTCCAAAAATTTGGAACTAAAGAGCAAGATGGAAAAGCCACTAATTATTCCAAAAAAAACACCCTCTCATATGAAATAACGCAGAGTATTATAGATATTCTAACAACATTATACTGATGTTCAAATTCACAGTGAATATTAAGTTACAGGCCAACACTCACCCCATTCAACTATGTAAATCACGGCTTTTAAACGTCTGCACTGGTTTAAAGTGAAGAAAAAAAAAAACAAAAAAAAAAGGCAGGCAGAATTTGACTGTGAGTGGGGAGTACTTACTGGGTCTAACTTTAGGGACATAATTTAGATGGACAGCTTCCTTAAGCTTCCAGAATAATTCTGGCATAAGTAGGCACCACTCTTCCAGAAGTGATTCAGAGCACCTACATTAGAGCGCAATTTGATGAGACAGGTCAAGCCAATCTCCAGCTTGCTCTGTGAGAAGAATGATCTCCCTTCCTGCCCCCTAGCCCCACATCTCCAGGACAGGAGGGTAACAGATGCCCTGCCCACGAGTTCTGCTGATTTTAAACCAGATTCCCCAGAAGAGAGCAGAATCACCTCTCCCTGTCCATTCAGACAGAGCCTCAATAGATAAGGTTAGCATTTCCTTTTCATTGAGGAAGGTGGAAATGCATGCAGCCCCATTCCATCTGCCAGAATGACAGAAAACTAAGAATTTGTAAACCCTTGCAGAACTCTGAAGCAGAAATTGCCTTCTATAGTAAGATGATACAATTTAGAGAAATTGCTTACTTACAAAAACATATTACTCTTGCCAATGACCAGCCACTGTTAAAGTCTTTCTGCTATGGATTAAATACCTTCAAACAAAAGCAGACCCATGCCTGAACTAAACTAGTGAAAGAAAACATCACAAATATAAGAGGTGATGGTAATAGTTGAGAAGAGATAACTAAGACCTTAAAATGAAGGCACCATTGTACCCAGTCACAATTCCACGTAACGTGTAACAATATTGCTCCTACTTTATTACTATTTGTTGTTAGCATATAAAGTATAATGAATATACTACTTAAAAAAAAGACCACAATGCCTTCCTCCTTTCAGATAGGCACTAACAGCTAACATAACAAATTTTATTCTTTTTTCTGTACACCCCCCCACACACACACTCATCCATTCTAATTCAAAACACGTGGAGAAGCAGAAAGTTGCAGAACAGATATATCAGTTTAATATTGTCCAGCCTCACCTAGTAGAGAACAGCAAATAAGTAACAGAACAGAGTTCTGGTATGGGAAAAAAAAAAAACAAACAAAAAAACCCAACAACAACAAACCAACGTTATTTCCCTGTGCAAATTACAACGCAGCAAGAATGCTACCAGCTTGTGACATGAATGATGCTCCAAAGGGATCACAAAGAGACTGTCAAACTCATAATAAAAAACTCCAAGCAACTCTGTATGACTTAGGATCTAAATTAACATCCAGCTGCTTTAATAAAGAGAGCAAAATGAGAAATGGTATGAGCTCACATCATGAAAGTAATCCGTTTACACATTATGAATAGGCATAAATCTATCCACTAGAACAGATGTAGCTACAAAAGTCACAGCAAAAAGCAAATGCCGCAAGCTGGTTTACAACTTCGTGATCTACTTCTATGAAGGCTGACAAATACTTACATTATTACACAGAAGTTCTGCCTCTCTCAGCTTGGCCAGCTCACTTAATTCTCCTTTATATTACTCTTACTAGCACTATTTTTTATCCACATTCCCTCACTTTGTTATAAAGGAATCATAGGGAAGACCACTGGAAATTCAACAGCTCTACATTCAGTTTTGGCAATTGCTCAGTAAAAACCAGAAAGGGGACAGAGACAGCAGAGGAAATGATGAGCACAAACAAGAATTACTGGCAAGGCCATTCTTTGCCAGCGCACCATTTACTGCATGAGGCAGGGGCTCTACAGAACAAGATGGTGCTAAATCATATAATTGCAATGTTTCAGTTTGCATTAGCAAAACAAGGATAAATCAGTGTTGCACAAATAACTGTACCAATCCTTTCATTGGTAACTTTTTGGATGTACTCTCCAACAAGACTGTCGAAGGAGAGATGTGATGTATTAAACCATGTGCTTAAACCACAACACTGAGGATGCTCCAGAATTTGTGGAGAAGCAGTTGAGGGCAGAAGTAAGGAACAGCCACCCACAGAAGACCACTGAACTTCATGGTTAGGAGAGCTTAAGAGCCACCAAACAACAAATAGAGAACAGAAACTTTCACTGAGGCAGAGGTTGAACAGAAGGCAGTATATTTACTTTTACAACATCCTTTGACAGTAATTTGCTGATTCACCCAGAAGAGGAACTCTTCTGTATTAAGGGCAGTATACAACTGCACGGATTAGCAATTATCATGCCTAAGCAAGTATCACGCTGCAAGGTAACACTTTAGTTTCTCTCTGGCAACTCATTTAAGAGTCTGTGCCCCAGGCAATAGACTTTGGAGCAGGAGTGAACTGTGGCTCATGGAAGTACAATTTAATCATGAAAAAAGCTGACAGGACACAAGATAGAATAAAAGGAAGAAAGAGCTGTGCAAATTCTGGCACATGTTGGCAAAGTTAATACCTTCTGAGATATGCTCATTTGTCTCTGACTCACTGAAGTCTTGGATACTTTCCTCAAACCAAGATCTGTAACTGGAATTCAGCGCCAATGGCAATAGGAAGCACCTGGTCTGGACCTTATAATGGAAGCCAAGGCTTACTGAAATCAAGAAGAAAATAACCAAGTTTCTTCCTTATTAAAGGAAGTCAGGCCTCTTCTTTCAATGGTCCTCTTTTTCCAGCCCTTTTGTCATGGACAACAATCACTGACTTTTCCTGAAGCGCTCTGAGAAATGCTTCAGTTCAGCAGTGGCTGCTTAGTTACGTAAAGGAGTCAGAATGGAAAAAATCGCAGAAAAAAGAACAGCATTACTGACAGAATCACTTATTTTTCTGAAGTACCTCATTCATTATTGTTCTCCAATTCATCAATAATTATTAGACACATTACTGTTAATATCTTTGTATTCTCTGTCCCAGTTACAATCCATACATGGACAACTATACAAGACATACTCCTTGGTTTCCTACCTTTTTTCTCCTCACTGCTCTGAATAAAAAACCAAACCAGCCTTTAAGACTGATCTGATCTGTTTGGGATGGGGGCAGAAAAGGTAATTCCGTAAGTCTGTTTTTAATATTCTTCCACAAAGCACCAGTAAACACATGCTATTTCAGAAAGAGTTACTGCTTCAGGTTATCACCCCGCTGGTCTACAATGAAGCTACCTCTAAATATTTAAAGTTCACAGTTTGAGTAAATTGGAGATCTTCGTCAAATTAATCAAATAGTAAAACTCAACATTTATCTTCCATGCAATCTAACACAGAGATAATATCAGAAGAATTGTTTTGAAAGGCTGGGTAAACATTTACTCAATTTTGGGGCATATTTTGTCATTTACCAAGTATCCTGTATTTCGCAGAGATCTTGCACCTGTGAAAATTAAACCCAATTTCAATTGAAATAACCCAAGAATGTATAAAATGCTTTTTTTTCATAGGATATAAAAGAAAATAAAACATGGCATTAAGCAACAGACATTCTGCAGAGGTTTTAAAAAAATATTGTTGCAAAAATAATTAAAAAATCTCCAGGCAAAACAGTCCAGCCATAACATCCTTCAATTTTAAATCAACAGTTCTTATTTCTTGTTCAAGCAGTGATGAGTTATCAAAAGCTGTGTTTGTTATATATGATTCTATGCTAAGCATGTATTTTAAGCTGGCAACATAAGACATATCAGCTTAAATGCTGGACTTGGCTATATTTATGGTCATAGAGTTCTTAAAGTCTTAACAGGTTTTCATTAGGAGCCTTGAAACAAATATCATCACTGAGGTATCTTTCAATTATTTGGTATCATATAATTTTTTCTTCAGATAATGGTCTAAATTCTCAGAAACTAAAATATTCATTCATCCACCTGTACATTTTTCATAGAAAAGGGAGCATTAGAATAACTAACCAAAAATCACTTATTTCTATGAGATCTCAGAGCCATACTCAAATATCCTATGCTACATTTGTACATAGTTAAGAATGAAAATGTGGACCTTGCCCTGAAGAGCTCACAATGTAAATACACAAATGCTGAATAAAGGTAACATGAAAGAGAAAT